TATATTTGTGTCATTGGACCAGACAATGCCCGGTATGATAATCTAGAAGAAATTGTCATTCAAAGATCCCACAAGTTTTCAACTAGATAAAATGCTTAAAACCGGAGCTAGTAATAAGACTAAATTCATGAAATTCTCTCTAAGATCCCACAGTCCTTACCTCAACAATAGATTGGAACCTTAATGAAAGCTTTGGATTCATGTAGTTGGACCAAATCTCCATTAAAAGCTTGTTTAGCCACTCACAGTGCTCCAATGGTGTCAATGGCTGTTTAAAAGTGCCAAATGCTTGATAATGATAAAACTCGCATATCTTCGAAGTAAAAAGTCAAAGAAAGTGTAGGACCGAAGTACTTAGTGTAACTCGCTTCCACTTCTTATTCAAGTCTTCAACAGCTATTCGATGTTGATAATTACCATACTGCAATGGAGGAGAAATACCTTAATGTCATCATAATAAAACTTTAAAATTAATTGCCATAACACCCTCAGTCAAAGGGCGGAGGGTACAATTATTTTCTTTCAAAACATTTAGATATCACAAAAGAGTTTTGTGATCGAAAACCTAGCTGCTATTGTTAGCAAGTTAAGTCTAAAGTGAGGCCGAAAAAAAATGACAAGGATGAAACTCAAGACCGATTAAAGTGATTAGGTTTCGACATTCGAGTAACTGGTAACAGAAGCATAGACTGCTTACAACATTACCTAGGAATCCAATTTTTGACACAAGAAATCTACACCTTGGAAGAGAACAAAAATAGCAAGGAAAAGAGAATGGTTGAGAAACCATCCTGATGATGAGGGAAAACAGCAATTGAACCTACATAGTCATTCTAAATCTTTTAATTCAACCCTCATAGCTAGCTGAATCTCAAAGCACCTATTAGCTACAAGGGCTATACCTAGCTAGCTCCAAATCCAACTAAAAAACGGATATGCATACGATTTAATTCAATACAGCGAGTTTCCCTTTCAAAAATGAACTTCATCTGTACTCTTGTCTTGAAGTAACAATGATATTTAACATGGTAAAAGGAGCAATAGTAATCGTGGAGTATCAAGTACCAGAATCATGTGTGACTATGTTACTTCCACTAAGAACATTGGCTGGCTATTTGAGAACAAATCAAAATCAAGTTGCAAAATTGAGCCAAATAGAAAGTAATTATCTGAACACTGAAAACAAAAAAGCCAGCAGGTCACAGGGGGAACTTAAAATCCAATAGTATCACCTAATCAACAGAATATGTACATGTTTTGGACCTAAAATGGAGTAACAGTATGACTAAGGAGTATTAAAATATTTCTAATAACATATAAGCTCTCTCCTCACTGCATTTAATAGCATATAGAAAATATAAAATGGGAACAAGTAACAGAGATTCAAATCAGTGACATAACGAGCTTGTAATGAAAAGACAAGTACAGAATCGTTCCCTAAACAATTCCCTATGTGTACATTAAAACTGTTCATATTCCGTAAGCATAAAACACATCGAAAAGGAAGGAGCTTACCTGGATAGAAACCCAAACGGCAAGAACAAGAGGAACCTAATTGGACAAGGAGAAAAACCATTTCTCCAAAGCCCAGAAGATCAAAATCAAAGGGATCAGAAAAGGAAGATAAGGCTTCTTCTCCACCATGACATTGTTGAAAAAGTCCACAACTCCATCAACATTCACCAAGCTTTTTTTTTCTTCTTCTACCATTTCAGCTAACACCAACCAGAATAATAATCTTCAAGTCTTCCTCCTCCAAAGAAAACAAAAAAAAAACATTTACCTCAAAAGTCTTAGCCCAAACTCACAAAATCCATACTTTTTCAACATCTCCCCACCATAGAAAAGGAGCCAAAAGGACAATAACTATCTTCTTTGATACTACTAATAATAAGAAGGCGGATTAGATTATCTTCTTTGATACTACTAATAATAAGTTTAATAATTATCATTCAAAACCAAAATTTGAAATTTAACCAACAAGAACGTTAATATTTTAAATCAAAGTATTAATTATCAAACATACATAACTAATAATCGTATCAAATTGAGCAAAGGTCAATGACATCAAAGGGAATAATAAAAGGTGGGAATCAAGACACCAATGAGCATATATTGGTTGCCTAATAAGCCTTGGCCATTTTTGTTTGTTTTGATGTTAGAAAATGAGATCACATAATGGATGTCTATGTTAAAACGATTTTTTGTACTATTGAATTTTTGGATGTTATAAAATAGTTATTAAATTTATTAAATTATTATAGAATAATCATTATACTTTATCAATTTAGTATAAAATGATTATAAAACTTATTGAATTATTATTTTAAATTCTTTTATCGATTTATTAAATAATTATTAAATTTTATTAAATTAGTACAAAATGATCATTAAATTTATTGAACCATTATGAAATGATCATTAAATTTTAACAAAGTAGTAAGAAAATGGTCATTAAATTTATCAAATTGTCATAAAATAATCCTTAAATTTATCAAAATTTATCGCTATTTTATAACATGTAATGATCCTTTTGTAATAGTTTGATAAATTTAAAGATTATTTTATAATTTTAAAAAGTTTAATGACAAAAAAATACTTCAATATAGATTAGTGACCATTGTGTACTCTACCCTTGTTTATTTTATACATAATGAGATGAAGTTGCCTCATTTTAATAAAAACACAAATCCGGAATAGTTGAGTGTAAATTTTTCATTTTTTTGAGATCTACATTTATTGAGTTATGTGACACAAACCCACCACTTTTATATACACAAATAATTATGCACATTAAAAGAAGAAAAACTTAAGGACAGCCAGCAAGGACCACAACCTTGTAAACGTCTCCACGTGAACACAGTGACAACCATGGCCAGAACTCTTGCTTGCCTGGTTCATAGATTTAGCATCACAGCAGCAGCAATGTCTACTATTAAATTAGTTTGGTTCAAATTTATGTTTGATTCAACCAACTACTAGTTTATTTGTAGCACAAACTAAGCAACTTCGGTGGATAAAGAAATAGTTGCTATTTCTAGAAGTTTCGTGGTCGAACACCAGCAAAAAACTGTTAGTGTATTTGAGCGTTTACTGTTAAATAGTTGATAATCTCTAAAATAAATACTTAATAAAAAAAATAGTTGATTTGCAGACAACAAAACGATAGATGTTGTAATAGGGGGTGGGGTAGTTTGTGGGCTTCGTAAGGAACGAGAGGCTATAAAGGAAATGGGTCAGATGGGGCATCTACTGACCCATGTGCTTTGGATGGGACCTCGGTTGCTGTGTATTTGGGATTAACTCAGATGGCCGGCAGAGATGAGTATATATGGAAATTTGAATATTAATAGTTATTCGATCTGATTTTTTTTTGAATTCGTGTAATATTAATTTTGAATATGAAAATTATTATTCGTTGTAGATTTGAATAGGCTTCTCCTTTCTAAGGGAATTTGAATATGGTTTTTTAAATTTTAATTTCATTGTTGTTAATAATGAGTTATCGTAATAAAATATGAAATTCAACACAAAACGGAATAGATATTCGAAAGCTTGAAAGAAAAAAAATAGACTTAGAAAATTCTTCAAGATAATTTGGGTAATAAATAAATAATTTTTTTAAACCACAAATACAAAGACTAATAACAGTTTCAAAGGAAAACTAAGACAATTTGACGTTAATGATCCAATCATAGGCACTGGCGTTAATCACGCGTGATCGATCTCCTTCGCTGTCGTAGCACATTCATAGATAGTCTTTGGTCGTTAATCCTCGATAGATTCCCATTGCTCTTAAACTATATTCATCATCCTAATTATCGCCATTCACTTCCCACTCCTGTTCTACTATTCGTATTATGTGTTAGAAATTTAATTAAATTTTAATTTATCGAGGATCTTCTAACTATATAGTGAATCAAAATTCTCAACAATTATGTATTGTATTTTCAAAATGATAGTGCTGTTGAATATTTATTAATTTGTATTCTTATTTATCATATAACGAATTTCGAAAAGTATTTTAAAGAATAAAACACCATCTAAAAATTGTATAAAATATGAATATTTACAGTAACTTATCAGATAAAACTGATCCGAGTTTTGTTGAGTTATGTGCATGATATGATTTATAAACTTTGGTTATGAATTTGACACTGCATCAACTTGCCGTTTTCAAGTGAATTTCTTAGCTTTAATTATCATGAGTGGTGCCTTACATTATACTCAATTTAGTCACCCTTGATTCATGTCCATATCCATATGTCTTCGTCACAATGATAATGAAGGACTTGCTTTACATACCATGAATTCCACTCTTATGGATATATAATAAACCACAACTGTACATAAACAAGACGAATTCAATTTTCGCACGTAAATTAGAAATTCCTAATTAATCATACCATAATTGTTTTAGTTCCGAGGTAGGTTATTAAAAATAACATCATTGATCTCTGTTTAAAGTAGAGAGAATCACATAGGAACTATAATTTGAATTATTTGAATTCAAAGTACGAAGGTATAATATAATATTTGGATTCAAGACGAATTAAAACGAGTTTTATAAAGAAGATAGTTAAAATTAAGATAGAGTTAGAGTTAAAATAAAAGGTCTATGAATCGATTCAATCCAAATAGTTACTACAATATTCTACTATACCCTAATTAATCTAATTTCGTGCTCATCCTAATTTTATCTTGATTTGTGTTTGGCAGACAAGAAAAAGAGGGAAAATCTAACCTTTCCTTTGCCTTTGTTGGTTACAGGCTTAAAAAATAAAAATGCCGGCTCTTATGGCCAACAGCAATTTATCCACGTTTTCTCTCTACACCAGTCGCATCCAATACTTTGTTCAGTCAAGCACGTTTCATGCTCAGCATATTTGAAGCATCCAGTGATATAAATTATAAAATAAAATATAACCTCATTCCACCTAACAGCATCACATTTTCATTTTCAACTAGAAAATAGGTCATTTGCAGCGATTTGTTAACTGTGTGTGTATAATTAAGTTGTTGATTAAGTACAGTAAATTAGGTGAAGCTTAGAAATTTGTTAGTTAGTTAGTGTGTGTGTATATATACAAAGCATTGGCCTTGGCTATTACTTAAGATAGAGGAATATGTCACCTCTTAGAAAAAAAAGTACAAGTTCCAGTGAAGATGAAGCTGAGCAGCTCAGGAGAGGACCTTGGACTCTAGAGGAGGATTCGCTTCTCATTCAGTACGTTGCTCGCCACGGCGAAGGCCGGTGGAACTTGCTGGCAAAACATGCAGGTAACTGAATCAGTTTCATTAGTCTATTTGATGTTTCTTAAGTAAGGTTTAGAGTTTGAGCTTTATAAATAGAAAAAACAGGATCCGACCCGGTTGGACTGTAAGAGCTCTCTTCATTCTTTTTTTTTTTACCGTTTTGTTGGTTAGGCTTAAGGAGAACCGGCAAGAGTTGCAGGCTGAGATGGCTAAATTATCTGAAACCGGATGTTAAGCGTGGAAACCTTACACCCCAAGAACAGTTTCTGATCTTTGAACTCCATTCTAAATGGGGCAACAGGTATATTTATAATTTTCCTATAGTTTTATATTCAGACAGAAGTTACCATTTGATCGGGGACAAGACATAAACGTGTATATGTTGTGATTTCTAGGTGGTCGAAGATTGCTCAACATCTACCAGGGAGAACGGACAATGAGATCAAGAATTACTGGAGAACCCGCGTGCAGAAACATGCTCGGCATCTCAAGATCGATGCGAACAGCGCCACGTTCCGGAATGTCATCCGATGCTATTGGATGCCGAGTTTGCTTCAAACGATGGATGTTCAAGCAAAAACCGAAACCTCTCAGCGTCAAGTGTCGATGAGGCCTGAGCAGATTTCGGATTCAGGTCGGAATCGGTGCGGAATTTCATGTGTTTCTTTGTCAGAATCAATGGATGACATCTCGAATGTATCTGGATTTTCAGAGTACCAAACAACTCCTATTAGCGTCTATGGTAACAATGAATGCAACACGCTGGCATCAAAGGATTGCCATAGTAGTGATAATACTAGTTTCTATGACATGGAAACCATCAACCTGGCAGCCACGTCAGCACTAGAAGAGGGATTTCCCGACCCGGTTGGCGGGTGTCACTTGGCGGATAACGATTGGGTTAACGATGGTTTTGCAGATCATGGCCTATGGAGCATGGGGGGACTATGGGAACTCAGGAACTTCCATTGAGGGGAAACCTTGCCATTTTCCTTCTTATGTTTAAATGACAGTTTTGGTCTCTCTATTATGTTCAGATTTGGTATTTAATCACTATACTCTAATTTGACATAACTCAATCTTTTACTTTTAAGTAATGACAGATTATGATATAAAGAGTAAATCCAAAATTGAAATATGATTTAGAGCCCAAAATTTTTGTTTAATCATTTCATTCGAACAGTTCTCATAGGTTAATTTTTGGAGTTTATTTGGTTATATAAATTTGTATAAGGTTCGATTTTTAGACACTACATCCCTAAATTATATACTTTTTGTCATCAATCTCCAACTGAGGATAATTCCAATTTAATATGATTCACCAATTCTCTGTGTCCAATGTTTGAAAATTTGAATATGATTCACCAATTCTCTGTGTCTAATGAAAGGGGAAATTGTATACTTTTTGTCATCAATCTATTCTTTAGTAGAATTAAATGATTCTTACTCCACTGCCATATTCAGACAAAGTGGAATAATTCCAATTTAAGAAGAAACATGGCTGTCTTGTTTGTCATCATAAAAGCTCCAATTCTTTCACAATCAACCTTGAATTTAGTCGGTTAACTAATGTTGACAAATATCAGTATTTTTATATAACAAGCAAACTTGAGTTTAAAGCGTGTTTCTGCAAAATAATAATAAAAATATTATTTTTCATATTTTTGTAAGAAAAATAAATTACTCCAAACTGAAAAAATAAATGAAAAAAACATAATGAGTCATTTTATCATTTTTTTTTATGTTTGTGAAAGTATAAGGATAAAATCATATATTTCTTATTTTTAATATTTCTAAATTATATCAAGCAATGGGTGAAATGTAAAACACTTTTCTTAATTATGCTACATGTTTATACACAAACGTACGAAACCCAGGACTTTAGGTAGGAGGGTTAGGATAAGATTGTAAAATTTTACATGGGGCCAAAGTTAAAATTTCAAATTTAAAAGGGCTTAAATTAAATAATTGATTTAGGGGAAAAACTAAAAAATACACGTTTTTTATTTAACCAAAGGGTTATGTCGTAACGTCCATTTTTAATTTAAAAGCGTTTTTACGTTTTAAAACAAAAACTCAATTACGACATATTTCTTTGAAAATATTTACTTTAAACTAATTCGATTAATTTGCTTAAATTGATTTTGGAGTTGTCATAAATCAGTCTACGTTTACCAAAAAATTGATTTAAAGAGTTCGAGAATCGATTACGCATGAATAATAAATATCACCACCACAATGTCAAAAAATTGGTACCTAATCGCTTAACATTGTCGTGGCAGTGTAACTATGATTTTGAATATAAAATTTGAGATTTTATGAGTTTCATGGGTTCTCAATGTTTGATCCTTAAAAATGAAACCAAATGGCTTTTAGTACCCTTTCACAGGTGAGCAACTTCTATGCAATATGAATCGAGCACTCAGGGGAAGGACTCTGATTCCCTATTGCTCCCATGGCCAACTTCACTAACATTAGGTAACTTGTTCCGTTGTCCGGCACCTAACCCAGGTCCTGCTCTATGCTCTATTGGCGTCCCGTATTCACTTTGAAGATCATCATCGGGCTTAATATTATTTTTGGCATTGCTTGTCATTAAATTTATTAAATTAAATTAAAATGAAGAATAACGGATTAAATGTATAATTCTATTAATTTTTTATTTTTGTGATATTTTCTTTGTTAAATGTATAGAAGGCTGCTGCTCCGCGTTGGATTATCCTCGAAACGGACGGAGCAGTCTGTTGCACTCCTCTTGTCTCGATTGGAGGCCTCGCTAGGGACGGGAACAGGTCGAGCCAGGTCCCTTTTTTTTTTTTTGTCGTCCCAACTCCGATTCGAAAATATATACCTTATACCCTACCCGTCTCGCCTCGATGAATTTTAATTTTTCTCTCGCCCCGATCCTGTCTGATTTATAGGTTAAAATCCTAAAACTGACCCGATTCGAATATATTTATATTTTAAAATAATTAAAATAATATATTTTATAACAATATATTTATACCTATTTATTATATTTTAAATGGTTAAACTAATATATTTTATTATATTTTTTATACTTTTAATAATTAAAGAATATAGTTTAATAATATAAAATAAAACTCTTAATATATATATATATATACAAGGATACATTACAGAGTCAGGTCAAGTCGGTTTTTTTACCTTAAATCTAGTCTCATCATGTCCTAAAGTTATATTCTATATAACCTACCTTGTCTAGTTCTCTAAAATTTTAAAAAGAAAAATCTCACCCCTATAAAATCGGGTCGGGACTCGTCGGGTTCGAGTGTTTTGATCATCCCACGGTCTCGCTTGAAACAACAATGGAAACTGGCTCTTTGGCATGATTAATATAATTAATAGATTATTGATCAAATTAAAAATAATTTATAGTTAAATGGTCATTATTGTAGTTATAATTGATTTAGATAATTAAGTGACATGAGTTTTTTTTAACTATTGTCTCTATTTTTCTTTATATACTTTGATAGTTTAATGCGTTGTAATTCTAATTCATTCTATTATTTTATTAATAAAATTTATGTAACCCCTTCGGACCGATGCAGATAGCCCGATCCGATCCAGGGTGTCACATTAGGGCCACCGGAGCGACCCACTGTAAAAATGGCGCAAAATTTAAAACTTTTATTAAAATATATAACTTATAAAATGATTTATCAATATGAAGAAATAAAAAAGATTTCCATACTCGTATATAAATCAAAATACAATTACATGCCCCTTAATCACATATATCATACTCTGAAAACAACGCCGGAAGAACTCCTTTACTGTTGTCGATAACTGCACTGGTACAACTCTTTTAACCTGCAATGTTGAGTAATAGAGTGAGCTTCGGAAAGCTCAGTAATACAGAATTACCAGATGATGCTATATGACATGCAGATAAATGGGAAGCCATAATTTCCTTATTGAATCATACGTATACCAGTGGACAGAATAATCTGGGGTTCCCTTAGAAGTTCATCGAGTAGAAGCCATAAATCTTAGTTCATAAGAAACCTTTCAAAGTATGACATTTTCAGGAGATCGAATAGGATGTCTAGTGTTCCAACAGTATAATAAAATCATAATAGGTACACTTATCAAATGATAGTTCAGTAAATCTCATAAAATCATAATGAAATTTAACTTTTGAAACTTGTAGTTTAAACCATTCTCTTGTACACCATCCGCAGTTTCTAGAACTGCGTCCATAGGGCTTACCTTAAGCACACAGCGAAAAGGAAGCCAACCTAAGGATAGGCTTTGGGGCCTGTATCCTTAAGTCTGTAAGTCCATAGGGCTTACCCTAAGCACACAGCAAAAGGGAGCCAACCTAATGGAACATCTTAGGGCCCGTGAGCCTACCCAAGAGTCACATTAGGTCCGTCAAAGTTTTCCAGCTTGATCAGAGCTGTACTTTATAAATCCGTATAAAAAATACAATTGCACAGTGACATAAATTCCATAAATCCATATACATGGTAATCAAATACCAGTTCAAACCAAAAAACAGATAGTCGTCTTAATCCATAAAACATCACAATAAATTGGTGCATCAATAAAACAGGAGCCATAGAATTCAGTGTACCACATTTTAAAACAAATAAAACAGTTCAGTAATAAATAGGGAACACACTAGAGAATCCAAGTATTTTCAGAGGCCATTGTAGTTATCATTATGGATAACATGAAACTTATGAAATTTGATCGAATTTCAGGAACAAGGTCCTATTGAGGAGAATCGATTACTAACCGATCTAGCCAGACATTTAAAGTTGATACTTTAGAATCCCACTATATTTTCGTGTGCATTAGGAAAACGTTCAGGAACCTTTATACATAATTTCTAAATTTAGATTTACTGCGAGTGATTCCATTACCCAAACAATCAGGGGTACTCAGGAATATACTTTGAATTCATAGGATTTCAGCCCAATTGAACCAAATAAAGTATTCAGAATCTTTTCCTTCTGCGTTACTTGCGTTTTCAAACATGACCGAAGTGATTTTAGATGAAAATATAAAATCGAAGATTCAAGTCATTTACAATCTATGACTATCCATCGTATTACCAAACAATTCGAGTTACACAACTCCCAAACTGATACATGTCAACAAGTCAATTCATTATCCTTCCAGTGTATTCACTCTTTAATACCATAATGCAGATTAATAGATCATCCCCATAATCATCGCTAAATAGATTTTCCAACAGTCTTTATTTTATTTCCATGTTTCAACGATATCAGGAAATACATACGTACTTGATTCATGGTTCATAACACATAAGGACAATTCATCATGTAAGTTCAACAATGTTTCCAAACTCATTCAATCACCTAATTAATCCTCAGTCATTGAGGTTACTTATTTCGTTTAGTAAGCAAGTCTATCCCGGTTACTTTAGAGTTTTCCATAATAATTCAGACGTTTCTGAATTTCAAATACATGTTGTACTTCCTTTCAGTTCAATTTAGTCATATAATAAATTCATTATGGTATTCGTGGTTGATTTGTCGAACAAACGTCCAATTCTTAGTACTGAATGCGATCTAAAGTTGAGTTGAGCTGAATACTTCCAAAATTTATCATCGAGCCAAACTTGAGAAGACGAACACGCATTACAGTAATATTTATGCCATTCAGGTATTGACATAGCTTTAGGGTTGATCTACTCACTTAAATTACGTTCCATTACTTTTAAAGGTAGTCCAATACCTATGTTTATTTGAATTTCTTAATTAATCCAAGACATTTACTTAGTATAGGTCATAAGGGTATTTTGGTATTCAATTTTATTCCAATCATTACAGAGCTCAAGGATATCCCATCATTCTTGAGCTTGGTGGTATTCTTGGGTCATTTCCATTATAGGGGTATTTGGTTATTTTACAGATTCAGTGTATTTTAATCATTTTCTTCTGTCCGATCTTACTATTAAATTCAATCTTATCATTTATTTCAGTCCTTTCGAACAATTCTGATAGCAGAATACCCCCGATAAATTATTCTTCAGGTATTTACTCATTACTCGGATATTTTCGGGTCAAGTGCCTTCTCAGATTTTACAAACGGAATATCATGAATTTTTCTGTACAAAGACACGATCTTAACAATTAAATTTGTACTTAATTGAGTTAAATACAAATACTCAAAGTACTTTCTCATTCAGGGTCAGCTCAAACTATTTTACCTCTCAAGGGTTTTTTTGTATTTTCTTAACCATATAATTTCGATATTAGTTCTTAACAAAAATAATTATAATTTAGAGATCCTATGATTAATTGTTTTCCCGAACATTCTCTGATCTTGAAATGATTCCCTTAACATACTCCTAGATTCTTGCTCAAATCCTTATGGTTAAAAACCGATTATCTATATTTTCCAAGCAAAACTAGCATTTCTTATGCACATCAATAGTTTCATCAGATCAAAAATCTCTTATCCAACTTCCATAGTCAAATCTTGTCTTTTTATAACATAAGGGTATTTTCGTAATTGTTTTACGTTACCGGAGTATTCTCATAATTTCCCATCCAAGTACCTTTAACATTTGACCTTTGATGAAATAAATTATAAGATACAAATCTAGATTGATTTCTTTATTACCAAACACAGAACTTGAAATTTAATTCTAACAATTCCTCAATTTCTTATAAAAGTCCTCTGAACCATAATCAGTTACCAAATCTCTATTGTATTCGGATCGAGTGTAAAAATTAATTAACTACTCAAATGAGACCAACATTATCTTATTCATGCATTTACCAATATTCACATGTTCCATAAAGCATAAAGAGGTAGTAAATTATTACCTCGATTTCTGTGCCATACTGATCGACCATTAAATTCCATTCGAACACCCTCGATCTTTAATTCAACTTCCAATATTTTCCGCATGATCCAGGCCATCCAAATTACTAACTCGTATCTAAATAATTTTCCTTGCCATAAAGATAGCTTATTAGAATTGAAATAATAATTTGAAAACTCAATTAGTATAATAAAATACTTGTGGGGCTACTTTAATAATTAATCACTAAAATTTTGCACTATTGGGCCATAAACTAAAACTAATGGAAATTATGAGACAAAGCCAAGTTTTTACCAAACCTTGAGAACTCATGATGCGATTTTCCACTTTATATTTTTAAATATCCTCTCACGTGATTTTTCCTATTGGAATCATAACCCCACTTTCCCAACATTTCAATCTCATTTCTTTAACATTTCATAAACATTCCACATCTTTAAATTGTAGTTGTGAAGCTGTATTCCATCTTCGAGAATGAGAACTCGGAATTTCAATTGCAGCAGTTTTTTTATAACTGTCACCTCAACATTCTAAGCAGTTTTGCAGAGACCTCCATGAGAGAAACCTTCCATGTCGACGACAAAGTTATCGGATTTATCATCGGCTGTGTACTGTAACCCGTTAATATGATCTGAAACTGATATCTTTTGTGTGGATATCTCGTTGGAAGATGTTAAATCCAGCTTTGGATTTTTTCCCGCCATGTTCAACATTTTCTCAGTAAAACGAAGTAAAAGGGAAACAAAACAATGAAGGAAGCGGTGGAATCAGGACTGTATAGAGCATCCAACAATTGCGTGTTCAAATGGCACTCAAGAAATCTTCATGATTTCTTCCAGCACGAATTAACTATTCTTAAAATCAAAGAAAGTCTCGTGATTTACAAAGAAACAAGATTCTGGAAAATGAAAGAAAAAGGTGACACAAACGAACAAAGGCTAAAGCTTTAATGGAAGTGGAGAACCTTAGATAAAATGCTTTGTCAAACTCAAATGGTGGTGGATAGAGAGTTAAACGAATAAAACTAGGTTATTTATAAAATGCTGGAACGGAACCTTTCTTTTTGTATCTAACAAGTGAAATAATTGTGTAGATCCCATGGACTCACATGTCGACTGTCGGCTTAGAATCATGCTAGATTTTTCAAGAAATGACAATTTGCCTTCAATCATAGAAAGTGTCGGTTTGAGTTTGATTTCCCATTATTCTCATTATCCATGAGTTTGATTTCCCATTATTCTCATTATCCATTTTAAAACTTAACTGTTCTTTAAAATATCTCAATTTGTGGACCTCCTTTATTTTGACTAAAATAATATTTATCAGTTAGATCTAAATCAACTAAAAATCAATTTTCGATTCTCTAGAATCATCTTAATTTTATAATAATCAAGTAAGGACAAATTATACTTAAAGTCTCCGAATTTCATAATATTTCTGATGAACCTAATTAATTTAAATCCTCAATTTCTTTCAAAATACTAATTAAATTCATCACTTTAATATTTTTAAAATTTATCCTCTGGGTGTTACAATTTAATTATCGTTATTTAAAAAAATTAAACCATAAAATTATTCTGATAATTTCATAAATCACGATACTTTAGACAATAGATCAATTTCAACAAGTAAACTGAATTAAAGCAATTCCAAATGGTCAATTATACGTTGAGAAAGGTTTTAACTTTTCCTTTTTCTCGCAAAAGAGAGCAATTTTCTTCATGCATTACGCTCTCAAAATTTCCCTTAAATTCTCAACTATTCCCTTGATTTTCGCTGTGTCTTAATTCTTTTTCCAAGGTTAAATTTTCCTTTTTGTTAAACAATTCTTTCTCGGATTTTCCCACTGTGTGTTCTCTCTCTCTCTCCCCCTTATCAAAATTTATCATTCGTTTCCCAGATTTTTTTAACCTTTTCCCCCGTCTCTCCCTCTGCTTGTTTTGCAGGAAATATGAAAGATTTATGTTTCTGTTTGATCTATTAACTCTCCAGACCAAACTCCAGGTCTTTTGTTCTTTATGTTCCTCGAAATTCAAAAAAAATCCAGTCATTGTCCTTTCTCTGACTTGTTTTTCAGTTCAACGAGTCTTTGTCGATGTTCAAGACTTCAAATTTCTTCCCCTTCACAATTGCATTCCTTTTCCCACCTTTTCACAGTCTTGAACTCTTCCAAATCTCCAAAACCCTGTTTTTTCTGAAGTGAAAAACCAAAAATATGTGCTCGGAAACAAGTCCACGGGTATCATTTTCGCATGATCTAATCAAACTAACGACCGAACCGAATAAATCTCGAGGGGACACAACGCTGTTAAAGCCATGTCCGGATTTCGAGTTCGACATTTGCAGCTTCGAGCAACAATATTCATCGGCAGATGAACTGTTTGCAAATGGAATGATACTTCCAAAAGTAGTAAAAAACGTGAAGTCGCAGTGGTTGTTTCTATTCCTCCACGGCCTAAATTGTCGACGACGGTAAAGGATTCAAGGAAAGAAATGGAGGAAAAGCCACAGTCCAAGTCGTTTTTGGGTTTCAAGAGAAGTAGCGGCCTCGACTTTTACAAAGACAAGAGCTTGGTTTGCTCTATACCGCTTCTTTCCCGAAGCAATTCGACCGGATTGGTCGCCAATCCGAAACGTTTGTCGATAAAAGACGGTAACAAGCATAGGAATTCAATGGTTTATCAGTTTCCTCAAAAGCCTCCTTTGAAGCATAGGAATTATGCATACGGCAATGGTGTTGGAATCAGTCCGGTTTTGAACGTGCCACCGCCTTACATCTCGACAGGAGCGGCAATTCTCTTCGGTTTAGGTTCTTTGTTACATAACGGGAAAGTTAAGAAGAGCAGGAAATGAAATTTTCCCACCATTTTTTCCCATTATTGATGTACATATTTATATGTTGATGCATATCTTGAGTTTTGAAAGTTCATTAATCAAAATAATAATTTGAACACAATTCATAACAATTTCTTTCCATAGGTAGGGTATTGGAGTTTTTGAGAGGCATAATACCCGAAAAAAAGAAAACAGTTAAAAGATGCTAAAAGATGAATCATTTGTGAATTTTATTACGAAAAGTGAAGACTTTCACATCCAAAAATTACAAAAAGAAGAAAAGAATTCTTCGAGTCGGTCTTGATTGTGTAGCGACTGAAATAATGCCTGGTTTTTATTCTTGTTGTTGGAGTTAATTGGTGCAGGAAACCACTGCATGCAACTGAATAAGCTGACCTCTTAAACTGCATTCTTCAACCTAAAAAAATGTAGCAATCCCTGTAAGTAAATGTTTGGACTTTTCGTTTTTCTTAAAGTATTTATGTCCGACATTAGAGACATTTTGAAGGCAAACCTGGTAGGTGTTTGTCTTGTGTAATAAATCTCCACATTCTTCAATAACAGATCTTTCTCTTATTGCCACTCTAGCTAATTCTGAAACTAAACTTTCCATTTCGTCAGCCTGCATTATTATAAAAAATACCAAAATGCATCAATCTTCGTCACTCTCCTATTCCTTTTTAAGCTTCACTCCATAAAGTTTTCCATAACAAGCCGGGGTGAGTCAAGTCGAGTTGAATGGAAAAAGTTCGAGTTTATAAATATTATTTTATTTAGTCCAAACTTATTTGAAATGTTTGATCACCACTAATAACAAGAAGGAAAATGTTTGATCTTGTTGGTATGATGAAGATCAAGCTTACCTTTGGTATAAAGCTTTGAACATGGCAAACTATCATTTCCATCAGTTTCATTGCAGAAGTCATTGCCTCCCCTATCTCTCTTGCATCTGCCTGCAAATAATCACAAACAAGAACACAATAAGAGATCCCTTCATCCGAATAAACAATGAATGAGAAACGAAGATGAAAGTGGAAAAAGTTTACCTTGACATTCCCACTGATCGGAAGTTGAACCGAAATGTTCGACAATGATTGAATAGTCTCGAACAATGAATTCAAATAATCCCCTTGGAAATCAGACCATTCTTCCAGATATGGCATCTGAAAAGAGGCCAAACAAGAACATGAAGACCAATCTCAATCATACATCCTAAAGTATCTATGTTTGAAACATATTGAATGTGAGTATGTGTTAGATAGATCGATAAATCCAAATATCAATATGAATTATGGAGATATAACCCTATACCGAACGATGGCACTTATTAAAGGTTTAAGGTCTTACTTGAGCTTCAAGAATTCTTGATAAGGTATTCATTCTTTGCAGAAGTTGAAGCTCCATGCGTTTCATTCTCACAAAATCATACAACTCTGATATCTTCACCTCAAGAGAATAAAGCATTCTCTAATAAAATAAAGGCACACAAGAATGGTTATTAGTTGAATCAGATGCATATGTTGATGACAATCCATTGAAAAAAATGATTAATAATAAAGCATAGGGCTAACCTCAGCCTCTCTTTTCTGAATTTGAGTGGAGGCTTCTGCCTTGGCATTGGCATATCTCCATTGCAAGTAACAATTGTAAAGCAGTTTCAGGGAATGTAAATCTTCTTGATGACGAGAAACTTTCTTCGACGCCCTTGTTGCATCGGTCCCGGGCTTTGAATGGGAAGGGACAGGAGGTAGTGAAAATGGGGTTATCTTAGCAGATTTTCCCTTCATTAGTCCATTATGATGATGAAACAGAGAAATATCTGAAGTCGATAATGGTGAATTCAGAGAGCGGGAGAAAAGGAAAGGAGGGAGTTTCGACGAGTCTCTGTCGGTATTCGCGTTTAGATCCGCTTGCAATCGAGTAGACTCGGAGTGTAACTTATCTGCATCAGGCATGGAAGAAACCAAATCTATACGGGACATAGCAGGGGATTCCAGAGAGGAAAACAAAGCATTGGGTTTTGATGATAAGGCGATCCCACTCGAATGCAGCAGCTTAGCGGCGGCTGAGACCTTGGCTGTCGATGAAATGTTTGCGCCTCGTTGGTTTAGTCTCATCGTTGTTGATGGTGGTAACGAAGCAGTTCTTTCAATAGTGGGCGTATCAGGCCTCAAAGGAGTACTTGTGTTTCTCCCTAACAATTTGCTACCATCGATAAAGGTTCTCGAATGACGATGCTTCTTTTTCGACGGCAATTCAGAGGGTCGCGGAGTCTCGCAAGGCGCGGGCAAGTTCTCGTCCGCCTCCGTATCCGTTTGATGTCTCTGCCGTTGCGATGAGACTGAACGGTGCTGTTTGTGAAGTATAGATTTCGAGGGGTCACCTGAAGAGTGGGAGGATGACACCGGAGACATGAACCTGGAGCTGACTTCTCTCACCCTGGGCCGCCGCGGTGGAGGCTGGGGAACCGCGGGAGGTGCCTCCTCATTACTTGTATGAGCAACTACTTCGTTCGCTTCTACTTCGTTCGCTTCCACCGTCATTACAAGAATAATATGTTGAAATTCGATCAATCTTGCAGTGATAAAGCTATCGATATATGATCACTAAACTAAAACAACAATTGACTGCAATTGGAAAAGCGAGAGTGTTTGGTGAAGAAGCAAAATAGCCGTTGGGAGCAACGTTCGAGTTTTTAAAAAATGAATCGCGTCATCCAACAGGCACGTGATTTGTAGCACTCTTAACGGGTCTCTGGTGAGTGATGGCCCAGCCCACACAACTACTAAAACATACGACCCATTAGCATTTAACTAAATAAAGTTGAAAGTATCTTGTGCGCTGCGCGTGCGCGGATGTATACGTATATTTGTATGTATGCATGCGTGTATGTACATACATATACACACGTACAAATAAATTTAATCTTTATTATTTATATATTTTATTAATTAAGTCTCAATATTAATTAAATTTAATAAATTTATTAAATTAATATTAAAAATATATTAATATAATTTAGTGGCTATACAGGTAGTTTACCCAGAGAGAAAAGAAAGGGAAACGCCCTTCCTTTGGTTCTCCGACTCAAAGGTTTGCAGAGAATTTCAATTCCCACGTTGAATCCTCCCAAATTCCAATGAAATAACATTTCATCAAAAATAATTCCAAAACCAAATCCCCTTTCCCCTTCATAATTCGCAATGTCCGGTTCATCACTCATGGATTCCCTGTTTCAACGCAGTTTAGAGGACCTAATCAAAGGCCTAAGACAACAGCTGATCGGCGAACAAGCGTTCATCTCCAAAGCCCTCGAAGAAATCTGCAAGGAAATCAAATCCACTGACCTCTCCACCAAAGCCACTGCTCTCCTCAAACTCTCCCATCTCTCCAATCTCCACTTCCACGGCATGTCGTTCGCTGCTTTCCATGCCTTGGAAGTCCTCTCCTCCCCTCGTTTCTCCCACAAAAAGATTGCTTACCACGCAATCTCACTTTCCTTCCACGACTCCACCCCTGTCCTTCTCCTCATAACTAATCATCTGCGCAAGGATCTTAACAGTACCAATGAGTTTGAAGTAAGTCTATCTCTTCAGTGTTTGTCTAGAATTGCTAACGTTGATCTCGCTAGAGATTTGACCCCGGAGGTTTTCACTTTACTGTCTAGTAATAAGCTTTATGTTCGGAAAAGGGCTGTAGCTGTAGTTTTAAGGGTTTTCGAGAAATACCCAGATTCTGTTAGGGTGTGTTTTAAGCGTTTAGTTGAGAATTTAGAGAATTCCGATCCTCAGATTTTGTCTGCAGTTGTTGGGGTGTTTTCTGAGCTAGCTTGTAAAGATCCCAGATCGTATCTTCCTCTGGCACCCGAGTTTTATAAGATTCTGGTTGATTCGAGAAACAATTGGATTTCGATTAAGGTATTGAAGATTTTCTCTAAGTTGGCTCCTCTAGAACCGAGGTTAGCAAAACGTGTTGTTGAGCCGATTTGTGATCTTTTGAGGAATACTGGGGCGAAATCATTATTGTTTGAGTGCATTAGGACTGTGGTTACTAGTTTGAGCGAGTATGAATCTGCTGTGAGGCTTGCGGTTGGAAAGGTTCGGGAGTTTTTGGTGGATGAGGATCCGAATCTTAAGTATCTAGGATTGCAGGCACTCAGGATTGTAGCTGAAAAGCACTTGTGGGTAGTGTCAGAGAATAAGGAAGTTGTAATCAAGTCATTGAGTGATGCGGATCCTAATATAAAGATTGAGTCGTTGCGTCTTGTGATGGCAATGGTATCTGGACATAATGTGTCTGAAATTTCCAGGGTTTTGGTCAATTATGCAATGAAATCCGATCCCGTGTTTTGTAATGAGATTCTTGGTTCTATTCTATCAACTTGTTCTAGGAATTTTTATGAGATTGTTGTTGACTTCGATTGGTATGTTTTACTTCTCGGTGAGATGTCTAGAATCCCACATTGCCAGATGGGAGAAGAAATTGAAAACCAGCTAATTGATATTGGTCTGAGGGTCAAGGATGTTAGACCAGAACTTGTCCGTGTTGCTCGTGATTTGCTGATTGATCCTGCTTTACTTGGAAATTCATTTTTGCATAGTGTATTATCTGCTTCTGCTTGGGCATCTGGAGAATATGTTGAGTTTTCAAGGAACCCGTTAGAACTTATGGAAGCACTATTACAGCCTCGCACTAGTTTGTTGCCACCATCAATAAGGGCAATTTACATTCAGTCTGCCTTTAAAGTGTTAGTTTTTTGTCTTCATACTTGCTTTGTGCGAGGGGGAAGTATTGTTCCCTCTGCATCTATGGATAATTTCCCCGCTGGAGTTTCAGCATCTGCATCCCATGAATCATTTGACGAAATTTCTGTTGAAAATAGTGCAGATGCGACTGTTGTACATGGCCAGACACATGCTTCTGCTCCTATCACCAAGGCGTCCATTGTAAATCTATTGAATCTGGTTGAGTTGGCTTTGGGCCCTCTATTAGGAAGCAATGATGTTGAAGTACAGGAGAGAGCACGGAATTTGCTTGGTTTTGTTGATTTGACAAAACCAGAAGTACTGAATTCATCGGTTCAAGAGAAAGAGGATTCTGAGGGAAAAGGAGTGGAAACTTCCAAAATAATCAAACTGATGTGCGATGCCTTTTCCAAGGAGCTCGGACCTGTCTCTTTAAGTGCCCAGGGAAAAGTTTCTCTGCCTGATGGGTTGATGCTTAAGGAAAACCTTGTTGACTTGGAAATGATATGTGGTGATATCAAACCACCTTCATCATACTCATTTTCTTTTGGAAGTCCTTACGAGGAGGAGAAGGATTGGTTGTCTTTTTCTAACCTGCATATTAAGGAAGACTCTGAACAATCAAATGAGTCCACTTCTCTGTTAGCTGAGCATCGTAAGCGCCATGGGTTGTACTATCTTCCTTCAGGGAAGAGTGAACTAATTTCAAATGATTATCCTCCTGCCAAGGACCCCACGTTACAAGGTGATATCAATGATAACACTGATGATCTTGTTGAAATCACAGAGGAATCCCTTAATCCAAAGAGAAAACCAAACCATGGCAAGCCCAGGCCTGTTGTGAAATTGGATGAAGTGGATGAGAAACCTGTTGCAATGAAGCAGCCTGAGCCTAGAGATGATTCACTCTCAAGTGCTGTTCGTGATGTTCTTTTTGGTAGTGAAGATATTCCACCCACTTCTTCTCGAAGCAACCTTTCTAATAATCCATCTAGCAAGAGAAAAGGAAAAGAAAAACAACATACGGATCCTCGTGTGGAATCAAGAGAAAATGTAATTGATAGAAATTCTAGTTCAAGGAGGAGCAAAGACCGTAGTCATGGTAAGGAGAGAAGATATAGAAGTCCAAAGAAGAAAAACGCCGAGGAAAGAAAAAATACTGATCAGAAAGAAAAAGAGAAGAGACATCGTGACCATGGTAGGCATAAATCACGACAAAGAGCCGAGGAGCCTTTGAAAGTTCCTGCACAAACGTCAGTGATTCCTGATTTCCTTTTATAGCTTGAGAGAAATTGGGTGATAAAATTAGCCCCTGTATTCTGCCTTCTTGTGTGCTTAAGGTTAGTTCTGCTGTAAATTTATACTTTTTCGTTTTCATGGGGGTATGTGGTTTATTGAAAGTTGAACACTGGGATTTGTATTTGGAGTTTACACATTTTGAGATTCAATTTTGAAACATTCTGTTCCTTGAGCATTGAATTGAGAAGCGTTCTGTGTTTCAATAGTAGGTATGGTTTTGCTTTGAGCTTTGGTTTTCATTTATATTTACTACTACTAGGTCCGAGGATATGCTATCTAATATCTTTGTGCATACTTATGTTTGAGCTTGAACACTAGGGCAACATATGTTTCAGTCTCGGCAGCTATGTAGACTGGCTCTGCGCTAGCTTATTTAGTCCGAGCGCATCAGTACGAGTGTCGCTGCGTCTCATGATTGCAGCCGAAATACATGGTGTGGACAATTTCAAGAGAAGTTATCAAGGACAAAAAAATATTATTTTTTGAACAACTTCTGCCCACGTGAAGGGGAAGATAAATTTTGCTCTTAATTAATGAGTATTGAACTTCAACCTAAGGGAGAAGGAAAAAAATATTAATCTATAAGTTTTAACCACTTACTTTATAAGTTGACATGATCAGAAATTATTTTATCTCTTTTATTAATGAGTAAAGTATATCGGAGATCATCAAACTATAATTAAATGATCATTGTGGCCATTAAATTTTTAAAATTTACAAAATAATCATTAAGTTTATCGAACTATTACAAAATGATCTTTAAATTTTATCTAATTGTTGCAAATTAATCATCATTAAATTTATAGAATTCTAATACTTATTACAATATCATAATGATCATTTTATAATAATTTAATAAATTTAATGATCATTTTATATTTTAAAAAATAATAATTTAAAATCTTCAATATTAGCTTTATTAACTATATAAATCGGACAAAAACGAGTTTGGATTTGAGAATTTTTTGAAACCGGGCCAAGGTACGGCCCAGCTCATGTAAGGTTAATAAAATGAAATGGTTGACTCGAAGTCAACGTCATTAAATTAACGTAATACACATAAATTACATAGGTTACTACGTGGCTATTACCCTGCTGTTTCCTCTAACATTCCAAGAACCTTCTTATTATTATTATTTTACAAACCTTCATTGTATTTAAACCCTTCCCTTACATCATTGTTTTTACACATCAATTTCCTCTCATTTATCTCTTTCCATCTTCCCATTTCGGTTGCTATCTGTTCATTTGTTTTTTTCCTTTCAAATCTCTCAATTCACCTGAAGAAAATGGCGACGAAACGGCTTCTTAGTGAATCATGTTCCGATCCAAATGAGTCGGCGAAGGAAAAACGCATGAAACTTCTTCCTTCTTTTGCTGCGTATGTTTTGAAGTTTTCTCAAGTGTGTGAAATTTTTTGTGTTTGATGATCATATGAAGTCTAATTATTTTGAGTTTCGAATTGGATTGGTGCAATTCAGAGCTAACTTCCTTAGCTGTTTATTATTAACAGTGTGATCGGAGACGATGCCATGGTTAAATGCTTGTCTGCAGCTCTTGAACCAGTCCTTAGAAGAGTGGTATGTATTTCAGCTTTTTTAGTATTCATATATGATTATATTATGGATTCATACTATCATTTCTGAGCTTTTTAATGATTGATTTTCGTTGTAATTTCTGTTAAGAGTTTGTTTTCCGGTACTTATTTATGATACGTTTTCAGGTGAACGAAGAAGTAGAGCGCAGTCTTCGAAACCGAATCCGTTTTTTCAGCAGGTCCCCCTCTCTTCGAATCCAAGCGCCGGAGCCATCGACCCTCGAGCTGATTTTCCCTAAACCCCTTACCGTTCCGATCTTTACCGGCAGCAAGATCGTCGATGAAGAGAGTTACCAGCTTCGAGTCATGTTGGTTGATACCAGGGGAAACCAAACGGTCCCGGTTCTTTTTCCAAGCCCAATTAAAGTAGATATCGTGGTTCTGGACGGCGACTTTCCATCTGTCGACGGTAAGAGTTGGAGTAGCGAAGAGTTTGATCGGAGCATCGTGAGAGAAAGAACTGGGAGACGTCCCTTGCTTACCGGAGAGTTAACGGTCACGGTGCGGGACGGAGTTGGCTTGATCGGTGATATCGAATTAACGGATAATTCAAGCTGGATTCGGAGTCGGAAGTTCCGAATCGGTGCAAAGGTTGCGCAAGGGAGTTCCAATGGTGTTCGGATTCGAGAAGCCATGACTGAAGCTTTTGTTGTCAAAGACCAACGTGGCGAACGTAAGTTTTCGTCCTTCTCCATACTAACCCACGTCTTTTCCATTACTATTATTTACATGTGAGAATTTATATTACACGGATAATTGCACTAAACGTCCTAAACTACTGCTCAAATTTTAAATTGGTCTCAACATTTCGAAACCTTTTAGTTTTCAAAGTTTGCATTTTATCAACACGGACATTAAATGTCGGTTTGAACCTGATTTAAAACATATTTAAAATATATGAATCAACATATATACATGTACTTAACACATTAGATAAATTGTCCAGTAGACACACATGTATTCAATTAGAATACTTTCAAGTTTAAGGATTAATCTAAAATTTAGACTAAACTATCCTATTGGCCATTAAACTATATGGTCGATTTTATTTTTACCACTAAAAAAATATTTTTATCATTTAAGTCATTGAACTTTCAGTATAGTTTTAATTAACCCACAGATTAATCTAAATATAATTTTTATTTATCATAAAACTAACCCTTAGCTTGGTTCAACGATTAAGTATTACACCTTCGTTCAGGTCAAGGTTTCAAATCCCCTTATGCCCATTATTATTTTACAAATATATTGCAACAATTACAATTTAACCTAAATATAATTTTTGTCAATCATGAAACAAATACTTAACTTGATTCAATGGTTAAGTATTGTACCTATACCTAGGTCTTAGGTTTAAATCACTCTAAACTCATTCTTATTTTCTTTAATTAGAACCAAATTGATAAAATGTGTAAATTTTGAAGATCAAATATATTATTATACAAATTTATGTAAATGTGACTTAATTTACAAAAAAAGTTATTTAATGATCAAAATAGAATCGACCTCATAGTTTAATTACTAATAAGATAATTATCTTAAAATTTAAACCCTAATTTGAAAGTGCCTGATGTAACTAAATCTATACTATATATCACAATAATCCTGTGGTCCCAAAGAACATTAGCTAGTACTACTACAGATATGCTTAAGATTTTGATGGTTCACTTAGAATCTACCTTAATTAATTTTCAATCATCAACAAGCTACATTAAAAATGATAACCTACAATTTTATCAATAACAACGGCGTTTGCTTATATTCTCCTCAGTTTCTAGCAGAGCAATTGTACATTGCATCTGACCATAGCTGAGTCTTATATATGTTTCTGTAAGCTAGGCCGAGTCAAACCCTAACCCTGTAATCACCAAACCACACCGTGAGCATACAGTATAAAATAATCCAGAACCGATGCTTGTTTAGTCGAGTAGTAAGAAATTCAATATTCTTTTAACGAAAATTTCAAATTCGAATTTTATATACAAAAGTCAAGGTCCATTCCATGGTCACAAAACCATTAAGATTGAGATAACATTCCCTTTTCCCATATTTTTTTAACTTCAAATCTAGGACGGAACTAACATCAAACACTGAGGTCAAATTTGTTTTATATTAAAAGAATAAGGTTATATTAAGTATTCAAGTCTAAAATTTGAGAAGAATAAATACTTTATTTAACTAATATTTAAATTAAAAAGGACCTAAAATGATATTTTTATCAAAAAAATCGGGAGGTGGTTGTAAGTAGATTCGTCCCTGTTCAAACCATTCATTAGTCATTTTCAGTCAACAAAGTGCTGCACCACTTCATATTAGGAGGATCTATAATATTACTTACTTGCCATGTATATCACCAAAACCATGTGTTTCAATCAGAGCCAGAAGCTGTTCTTCCGTCTCCCTCCTTCCTATTTAAAGAACTCATGTGTACTTTTCATTTTAAGTCTGAATTGTAGGTTGGGTCCCTCTACTAGCTAAAATTTAGGGTTAAGTGCTATACTTGTTTTGACCAATATACGCGAATTACTTGGAAAAAGACTCTTATACGAATTATTTGGTATTGAAGTATACAAGAAACATCATCCACCCACGTTGGGAGATGAGGTTTGGCGTCTAGTGAAGATCGGTAAAGATGGAGTATTCCACAAAAGGCTAGCCTCTGCGTGCATTAACACAGTGCAGGACTTCTTGAAAATGTGGGTCGTCGATCATGCCAGGCTTAGAACTGTAAGTATTTGCAATCACTTGCAATTTCGCTAATACCGTATAAAATTGTTTTACAACTAATATATCGAATATATATTAACTCTTCTTATATGTATGATCATATAAATAACTTGTTTCGAAACCACGTTGAAACAGATTTTAGGCACCGGAATGTCGGAGAAAATGTGGAGCGTCACAATCAAGCATGCCAAAACTTGTGTCATGGGAAACAAACATTATGTTTTTGGAGGATCGAATTGCAGAATCTGGTTGAGTCCCATTTGCCAACTTATTAAAGCAGAGATCAATGGGACATTTTATCCTACTCACAACCTCGGTGGTACTAACAAAGTATGTGTTATACTATCCTATTAGGGTATGAGACCCCTCAATGTTTAGTAGCCAAAAGGGTCCTATCTAAGCTGAATTAGATCGGATCAGATCCCATTTTGGATGATAAGTTCTCCCATCTTAAGGGATATCGAGTTCATTTTCACTCCATCCAATAGGATATTGGTTACTAAACTAAATATTTTGTTCATGTCTTTTGGGTCTTAAATGTCTATTAGTCTAATGGGATTTCCAATTTGCAGGCATACTTTGAAAACTTGGTCAGACAAGCATACGCAAATTGGTCTTCCCTGGAAGAGATAGAAGAGATTTCCAATGAAATCGGCCTTCTCACGCAAGGTAATCCTTTTTCCAATGAACACTTTCAACCTGTGCTTGTGGTTTTCCTTTTATTAAGTGTCAACTGATAATTCGATAAGGGCACGAATCTTTTGTTATTATATTAGTTGATAGTGATGCTCCAAGACCTTTTTAGTGATGTTTTATATGGAAATTTCCATACAGGGGATCATGTGGTAGACCCATACCCCAATCATCAACAAACCATGGTGAGATCATTTCAACAAAATGCGTATCTCACTGATTGTTCGATCGAGGGATATTTGCCGAGCGAAATGCAAGCAGACGGCGGTAGCTGGGAAGCAAGTCCGACGTATTTCAACACCGTAAATGAAAATGGGGTGGGAATAAACATATTGAAGTCGAATTCGGAAGACGATTTGACATCTCCGAGATCCTTTATCACAGAGGGTTGAAGGTGACTTATGCATCACTGCATGGAAACGAACATCTGGCAACAATGAGAGTGGTCAGTCAGATATGATCATCTTTGAGATAACTGTTGAAGCATTTAGCATAAACGTGGGAACGTATTTAAGTTGCAAGTGTACTTCTTTTTCTTCCTTCCCCCCTCCCCCTTAGTTTCCAATGCAATCTTCTAAGCAACTGATTGTATTGTAAATAAATAATAACCATCCGGCCGGTATTTTCTTTGGATGTCTAATAACTCATTATAGATTTATCACTCTAATGTACGCCTCCCCCATATCCAAAGAAGGTCATATAATTCAAACTTAAAAGATGTGTGTTTAGATGGCAAATATTTAAAGAATCGATAAATCTTCAAAAGATTCATTTATGATCATTAAATTTATCAAAATTTTATAATTATTATAACATTCTAATGATTATTTTATAATAGTTCGATAAATTTAATATTTTTTTAATTTTTAAAAGTTCAATGATCAAAATATTTATTTAAACATAATTTATTAACCCTAATATACTTTACCATTAAATTAATTATAATTATAAATTAAAAAGCCGTTATTAAAACTTGAAACCCGGTGCCGCTTTTATCTGACGAAACGTAACACGGTATATCAATAAAAGTCGATAAGTTGGCGAGAAATAAAGAGAAAATACTAAAGATATAATGAGAAATGAATCTAACCGTTAGAGATCTAAATTTCAAATCTCTTTCTTCTCTAAATACGAAAACTCTCTCTTTGTGCGCTCCTCTCACTGTTTGCAAGTCTCACTTAATCTTTGATCTGATCCAGAAGATTTGAGTAAGTGTTCTTTAATATTGTTTTACTGATTTTTGATTTGGCAATTTTGAGTTGGAAATGGAAAATAATCGAAGGAAGTGAACTTTCCTTCTAAGTAATTACTTTGACATCCACTTATAAACTGGATTAAGTTCATCGGTGAAAGAATGCTTCTGTTACTTAATTTTTTTTTACTAATTTAGCGATAGTAGTTAAAGTTCTTCTTTGTATAGCAAGATTCGGCTTTCTCGCCTTTTTTACTTCGTATTATTTTATATTTTGCTTACCTTTTCCAGCTGAATTGTATAAACTCTGAAGGATTTGATATATTTCAAAGCGACGCTAATTTTCAGCTTCATTAACTTCTAATCTTTTAGGAATATTGGCTTTCTATATGTTTCCCCATGTTTTCTGATTTATTCATAATTTGGTAAGTCCTCTTAGATTGTAGATTTGCTAATTACTTGTTTATATTTTGCTGATTGATTCCATTTCCAGTTTGTAATTTCACATATCATATTTAAGCAGCAAGACAGCAATACTTTTAGTGGTTTTTCAAATCTGAAAGACACAAAGGAGTATAGAAAAGATGGCTGCTAGAACTCCAGGAACCCCAGGCAATAAGATAGACAAGACACCAGTAACAACACCTGGAGGCCCAAAACCAAAGGAAGAGAAGATCGTCGTTACGGTAAGGTTAAGGCCTCTAAGTAAAAGAGAGCAATTGGCCAAAGATCAAGTAGCATGGGAATGCGTTGATGATCACACCATTGTTTCTAAGCATCCTTCTCAAGAACGCTCAGCTCAGCCATCTTCTTTCACATTTGGTAACTTGTTTAACTATATGTTATTTACATGGTTTTAAGTTTCATGGAAATGTGATGTTTGACTTTTTTCAATTTTTTTCCACTTTGTTTGCTCAGATAAAGTGTTTGGACCGTCATGCATAAATGAAATGGTTTATGAAGGAGTGAAGAATGTTGCTTTGTCTGCTTTGGGAGGAATAAATGGTATTTCGTTGTGTTCTTTTCTAGTGATTACTGTTTTGATGTCTGTTTATTAATTGTTTGTTTTTCCCTTTATTGAACACTTGAAATTATGTAATTTCTGGCACAGCTACTATATTTGCATATGGCCAAACCAGCAGTGGGAAGACATACACGATGAGAGGAATAACAGAGAAGGCTGTCAATGACATCTACCAGCATATAATGAATGTGAGACTCAGCTTCCCTTGAAGTCTTAACTATTTTTCTTGTTGCCCATAATATGGTTTGGAATTTGGATTTTATATGAGTAGTGGGTTGCTTTTCTAAATTGTTGTGTTATCCATTTGAAATTGTTGCAGACACCAGAGAGAGATTTTACCATTAAAATTTCGGGACTAGAAATTTATAATGAGAATGTTAGGGACCTGTTGAATTCTGAATTTGGCCGTAGTCTCAAGCTTCTAGATGATCCGGAGGTAATGGCTGTTATGGGAGCGTCTATGCTTTCAATCCTCCTCCAGTCATTTACTAGATTTTTGTCTGTTTAATCTTGGCTTGCAGAAAGGTACTGTGGTTGAGAAGTTGGTGGAAGAAACAGTCAGCAATGATCACCATCTAAGGCATCTAATTAGCATTTGTGAAGGTAATTAATGAAGCAATTGCTTTGAGTTAGCAGACCTTTTACCTCTATTAAATGTGAGTCTAACAGTTTTACTGGCATCTGTTGCAGCTCAAAGACATGTTGGAGAAACTGCCCTAAATGATTCTAGCTCACGGTCACACCAAATAATAAGGCTGGTATGAATGAGGATTTCTGTTGGTTTTGTTAGTATACTCGTTCCTTATGGAAGCCAATTCATAAATATCTTTGGCTTACATTGTAGACAATCGAGAGTACTTTGCGTGAAAATTCTGATTGTGTGAGATCATTTGTTGCAAGCCTGGTAAGAATGATCATATCACTTCTATGAGCTGTACACTCCACATTTGCTTTACTAGTTGCAGGATAGCTGGACAAGTCTGATCTAAATATAACGAAAAAGATATATGAATTGTTATTCTGATGACAATATGTTGGGACCAAACTTGCAGAACTTTGTAGATCTAGCTGGAAGTGAAAGAGCTTCACAAACAAATACTGATGGTGCAAGGCTCAGGGAAGGCTGTCATATTAACCTTAGTTTAATGACCCTGACAACTGTAATAAGAAAACTCAGGTCAGAGTCTATTCTAGCACATTTGCTGTTCATATATTAGTGCGTCAGTTTCAAGTATAATGAAGTGGGAGAAAAATAATGAATGAACTTCAAAACGTTACATATTTTAGCATTTGGTATCAACTACATCTACACTACCAGTTTTATTTTAAGTTCTATTATCATTTTGTTCATGACTGATTGATTTCTTTTTGCAGTGTTGGTAAAAGAAGTGGTCATATACCATACAGGGATTCGAAGCTTACTCGAATACTGCAGCACTCTCTAGGTGGAAATGCACGCACTGCCATCATATGTACTTTGAGTCCAGCACTAAGTCACTTTGAACAATCTCGTAATACTCTCTTCTTCGCTACCCGGGCAAAGGAAGTCACAAATAATGCACAAGTCAATATGGTACTTATTTCTTTCATTCCCGCTTTACGAGATTGACAAGGATTTCCAAATGATTTGTTGTTTGGAAACTTTGTTAGGTTGTTTCGAATAAGCAACTTGTCAAACATCTACAGAAAGAAGTAGCCAGGCTGGAAGCTGAGCTTCGCACCCCTGATCCTTCTAGGGAGAGAGACTTAAAAATACAACAAGTAATCATATTTCGAATAAGCTATTCAAGATCGTCTTCATCTTGAGTCGATTTATTTCATACTTTATATATTAAAGCATAGGTAATCACATATCTTGTTTTTGCTTTATAGATGGAAATGGAGATTGAAGAACTGAAGCGCCAAAGAGATCTGGCACAGTCCCAGGTGGATGAGTTACGCAGAAAACTTCAGGAAGATCAGCAGGTTCCCTCACTATTCCTTCTTATCTCTTCCTTGTTTCATTCTCTTTATATCTAGACCAAGTTCAGCTTACTTTTATGTGTCTATTTTCATATGCCTAACTCATTTGAATCACCAAAGCCATCTGTGAAGAAGTGTCTTTCATATTCTGATGTGCTGTCTCCAAAACTCGATGGGAAGGATTTAGGTTGTCATGATAAGACAAGAAAAACTATGCTGTTAAGGCAGTCTATGAGGCAATCATCAACTTCTCCATTCACACTTATGCATGAAATTCGTAAACTTGAACACCTCCAAGAGCAGCTAGGAGAAGAAGCAAATCGCGCTTTAGATGTACTTCAGAAAGAGGTGGCTTGTCATAGACTAGGTAATCAAGATGCAGCTGAGACAATTGCCAAGCTTCAAGCAGAAATAAGGGAGATGCAATCTGTCCGGTCAATCCCTAAGGAGGTTGAAGTTGGAACAGCTATAGCTCCAAATAAAAGTGTTAGTGCTAACCTCAAGGAAGAGATTACGAGACTTCATTCACAAGGCAGCACAATAGCTAACCTCGAGGAGCAATTAGAGAATGTTCAGAAGTCAATAGACAAATTGGTGATGTCTCTTCCAAGTAATCAAGAATCCAACTGTGAAACAACCCCCAAAAATAAGAATCAGTCTAAAAAGAAGAAGTTGCTTCCTTTAATGTCTAGTCACATTACAAACCGGCAAAATTTTCTAAAGTCTCCATGCTCGCCCCTATCAACCGCTCGGCAAGTTGTGGAGCCTGAGAATGAAGAAAACAGACCTCCAGAGGATGATGACATTGTCTTCAAGGAGACTATCACCGAGTCTGAGAATGGAACACCTGTGACGAGTGAAGAGGGTGGAGATGTCTCGTCAAAGGAAAGCACTCCAGTATACAGACGTTCAAGTTCAGTTAACATGAAGAAAATGCAGAAGATGTTCCAAAATGCAGCTGAGGAGAATGTACGAAGCATAAGAGCATATGTAACAGAACTGAAAGAGCGTGTTGCTAAACTGCAATACCAGAAACAGCTACTTGTTTGTCAGGTAAAATAACTGCCTTTGCCCTTTCTATACGTTTGTTTTTTACTTGCTCTTAGCCCTTAGGTGCTTGAGCTGGAATTTATCTAGTTTTTTACTTGCTCCCAGGTGCTTGAGCTGGAAGCAAATGAATTAGCCGGATACAATGTGGATGATGATGAGAATGCAATTGAAGCAGAGGAACCCCAAGTTGCATGGCATGTAACATTCAAGGAGCAAAGGCAGCAGATCATTGAGTTATGGGATGTCTGCTATGTCTCCATCATCCATAGGACACAGTTTTATTTGTTATTCAAGGGGGATCCCGCCGACCAAATATACATGGAAGTGGAGCTTAGGCGCTTAAATTGGATGCAGCAGCATTTCGCAGAACTAGGAAATGCAAGCCCAGCAATGGCAGGAGATGAGCCCACAATGTCATTATCATCAAGGTTCTCATTCATTCTCTCTTATTGAAGCATGCACATACATCTCTTTTTGCTTGAAATTTGTGTCTGTTTTCTTACAGCATCAGAGCCCTGAAGCGTGAAAGGGAATTCCTTGCAAAGAGGTTGACGACACGTTTGAGTTTCGACGAGAGAGACGCACTGTACATTAAAAGGAACGTACCGCTGGATGGAAAGCAGAGGAGACTGCAATTCATAAACAAACTTTGGACAGATCCTCATGATCCCAAACACATAGAGGAGAGTGCTCGGATAGTGGCAAAGCTTGTAGGGATTTGTGAAGGAGGTAACCTGTCAAAGGAGATGTTTGAGCTCAATTTTGCGCTACCTGCAGATAAGAAGCCTTGGATGGCAGGGTGGAATCAAATTTCAAACCTTCTTAATTTATAAGACAACTCTTTTGTTTGTAAGTACCTCTCCATTCTGTACATATAAATGATCTTTTGGAGTCCTTTCTCCAATGTTCTACTCTACTATCATCCGTTAGGGTTCACCTGGCCAAAGTTTTTAATAATTTTTTTTCTAAAATTTTAATTTAATTATCTTTAAATCAATGATTCAATCGATTAAACCGATCATGAATAAATTTTTTAAAAAGGTGTAATAATTCAACACTGATTTTCATTAAATAAGATTACGTCTGCAACAACTAGCAGAATATCATAGATAAAAGATCACACAAAATAAACATATTGGAGAAACCCCAAAGTATTGTTTTCGTAACACAGAGGCTATAAACTCGGTGCTTTTACTACAAACATCAAAACAAAGATCTTCTCAAACCACAACTATAATAAAATCCCTTCCCCTCTCTCAGATTCATACTGTGAGACATAGTAATAAATTATGGCCGCAACACAATCATAATATATTTTTTTAAGATCATTGCGACACCGTAATTTCATCCATAATTTAAAAATAGTGATAGAAGTGAAAAAAAGGAAAGGTTTTCAGCACTTGGGGAATGGAGTGCCACAGGTGGTGGCGACCTTCCTGGCATTTGGGGTGTTAACAAATTTCTTGAGATTTGGGTTCCTAAGATATTGGCAAAGGCAAGGCTTCTGTTCCTTGATCTTGCTGCAGCACGATTTGGACGGTGGAGATGATGATGTTATGGCACCCACGCAGGGGCTCAGCTCTGTTGGGCTGCATGTAACCGCCACCGACACCTCCGCTTCGGCCAGCAGGAGTAGCACCACCAGCACCGCAGCCGACGCAAACACTGCCGTGTATGATGCCTTCATTCGGTTAGAGTTTTAGTCTCTCTATGCAGGTGGTGAGTGAGAGCGTGTGGACTAGTGATGTTGGATGCAGAATCTAGTGGGTTTTGCCCGTAATTTATAGTGGTGGGGGTTTGGTAAAAATGGGAATTTTAGGTGGAAATTAGGGGCAATTTCTCATGTGGGAATTTAGAAAAAGAGGAGAATTGTGAAATATAGATAATTTTTAGTTTGGTCCCACTTGTATGATAAATTCGGTGGGATTTACTAAATGAAGAAATCCCCCATAAGGTGTGAGATTCAAGCATGCAAGTGGAAGCTCCTTGATCTAATGATTTCAACCCACTATAGCAAATAAAAAAAAACTCCGAAAGCATGTATATTAATAAAGAATTCCATGTTTTTCAAACAAAATTTCAAGTTTATATTTTGTAGGTGATTAATTTTTTTATATTTTTTTTATAAATTTATCTTAATTCGATTTTAAATATATTTTTTGTTTAGAAATGTTTTCCACCATACGGTGTGGACAGAATGAAAATTCACTTGTATTTTAGCAGAAACCTTTTCACAGAGTCTTTGTTCGCACAGAGATTAGACAACGATGGGCACCGAAATGTGAGGCTTTCATTTCAAGTGGTGTGACAATAAGTAAGCATGTGAATTAAGAGTAATAATTAATGAGCATGCTCGCTCTTAATTAATTAATTATTAATTCCTTTTGCCTAAACATTTTCAGAAAATTGATAATCTGGTTGACACCTCTCTCTTCATTCAGATCAATTCAGTCCAATCATTTTAAAAAAATGAAAAGAAAATCGGTACTGCTTATTGGCCTTAATCAGGATTAACATAGGCATGAATTACTGCCACCCACTCTAATGCTACGATTAAGTCCTCATTGCAATTATTCACGACAATCATAACGGATGATTTTTTTGCAATAATGTAGTTGAAAAAAAATTGTTCGACTCTCAAAATTATTTTTTTAAATAGGATGATTGTTATAGTACACCCAAAGACGCTTTATAGTCCATGCGACCATAATATAAATTTGAATGCGTCTCTCATATTTTTTTTCATATTTTTTTTTAAATTTTAATCATTAGATAAAAATTAAGAAGGCTAAAATTGGGGGAGAGACGCATTGTGATATGGGGGAGGGGGAGTCGCTTGGTGTTTCATGCGACTTTAGGGAGACGTGAGAAGCCTAGTGCGACTTCGATGATGAAGCTTATGGTATGAACTTTGTCGTACATTTAAATTTTAGAGAATTATAATTTTAGATAAATTCGTTATTTGTCAACGACATTCGAAATGAATCCCCTCAATTTAGTTCACGGCAAACTAATTTTATTAAAGATGTATTAAATTTGATAAATACGATTTATTCTAACATAATTTCCAAAATAATTCTTCAACATCCAATTTTTATATCATTCCTGTTATTTCACTAAATAAGCCTCGCAACGACTAATTTATATATTTTATCCAATTTCCAATGTCTGAAATATTCCCTAGGACGAATAACAATTCTCTTATAAATCCAATGAAATGTTATTTATCTGTTTAGCATATACAATATTTATAATAAATATATGAATCCAGGGGTGGTTGTATTATTGTGAAAGCAATCCCTTAACAACTCATTATTTTTATATTTGTCCATGTAATTGATCTCTTAATTTATTACGATCATATTATTATATTTTAATAAAACACAAATTAGACAACAGCAAAGCAGATTTTTAATGACAAGCCTGCTCCTATTACTATCTTCATCATGCATCCAACTACGACCGTGGAGACAAATCTTGTTAACATGTCTTAGTCTACCAAAAGCAACATATTCGGTTGCCTCTACATTGAAACTCAAACCATTGAAAATTTTGATTATTTTAGTTGTTTGATAGTTCATGCAGCCCTTAGCAGACTATTCAACCTAAAAATTAATAATAACAAACGAATAATTATTATTTTGTTAAGATTCATCACTACTCATAATATAATCAAACATATATTAAAACACAATATATATATATATATATATTGTTTGTCTCAACAGCCAATCTAGGCAAGTGTTGGTCGAAACCTTTACATGAATTTAGAAAATCCGATATGAAAATGCAACAAAATCGTGGGGAGCAATAATTCTCATTGAGAACCCCTAGCCAACCTCCTCTAAATTTGACCCACAAAATACATAGTATATGTATCCCAAAGCTTTGATTCGCCGCCTGTTGAAACGGCCTCTAGCTGCTTCAAGTCCTCTTATTTGAATTTTTAATCTCGGCCTTCCAGTTTCGTATTCTTCTATCAAAGCTTGAGTGTTATATACATATATGTGTATATATATAATGAATCTTTAATTACATCAAAGCTTGAATGCAATTAGTTTTGTTGAGTGGAAAAAGAACAATGGGTGAAAAGATAATGTACGATACGATTTTGGCTAGAAGCTTCAGTAAGTATGACCAAAAGAAGTTAGGATATGGAGCTTTTCTTGCTTGCTTTCTCATTGCATTGAGCTTCTGCACGGTCTTCAAGCCCTACTCGAGTCCTTTGCCAGTTAGTAAGTTCCCCCATTTGATTTTTTCTTTCTTTTGCATGACCTACGTGACAATATTATAATTATAATTTAGTGAACGTGCCGTTATTTTGCAGTAAATAAGAGTTTGTCCATGGATGTTGATCTGAAAATGCTAAAGATCACAGAGTCAGGCAGCTCTCTGAAGTTAAGGGCCAATGATACAAGCAGTTTCATACCGATAGTTGTCGATAAAACAAGCAGGTCTGAGATTGAGATGGTGGTGGTAGCCAATAAAACAATCAGCTCCAACACAGTAGCTGACGATGAAGGTGACAGGATGAGCAGTTCCAAGGCTCCTGGATTCAACTACACTAAGGTGGCATTGAGCAACGAAACAATTAGCTCCAATAGGGCAGTGTCTGCGCCAGAGATCAACAATGGAAGCAGCTCTCAGCAAGTCACGGGTAAGTGTGCTCTTTTTGTGTTTGAAGCTGCGGTTCGAATATATGGAGGTGCAACCGTTCTTTTTCTTAATTTTAAATTTTGATTGTTCAGGTGCTGTGCCGGAGAGAAAAATGAAGCCAATTTGCAATGTTAACGGAAGAACAGAATTCTGTGAGATGAAAGGAGATATAAGGATCCATGGGAAATCCTCTACGGTTTTCATGTCTGCTTCTTCCATGGAAAATAGTTGGGGGATCATCAGTCCTTTCGCTCGAAAAGGTGATGAAGAGGCTTTGAATCACGTGACGAAATGGTCGATAAAATCCGGGGTAATGGATGGCTATGGATTACCACGATGCGATCGAAAATACGAAGTTTCGTCCATAGTTTTCTCGCTAGGGGGATATGCAGGGAACAATTTCCATGACTACACTGACGTAGTTATTCCTTTATATCAAACTGCTCGAGAGTTTGATGGAGAAGTAAAGTTTCTTTTTACCGACAAGAATCCATTGTGGATCAACAAGTTCAAAACTATACTACGAAAGCTTTCGAGATACGAACCGGTCGACATCGATAAAGAAGAACAAGTTCATTGTTTCCCAAGCGTGATCGTTGGCCTGAAACGTGACCCTAGAGAGCTGAGGATCGATCCTTCGAAATCACCGTACTCAATGAACGACTTCAGGCAGTTTCTTAGAAGTGCTTACTCCTTGCGAAAAGCCACTGCTATAAAATTGACCGGTAACGGCCGGAAAAGAAAACTGCGGCTCCTCATTCTTTCGAGAAAACGAACACGAGCGTTTACTAATGTAAACGACATCACAAGGATGGCGAGGAGTTTAGGCTACAAAGTAGTCGTCGCGGAGGCGGACTCGAATGTAGCGAGAGTAGCGGCCACCGTGAATGGTTGCGACGTAATGATGGGAGTCCATGGAGCTGGCTTGACCAACATGGTTTTTCTTCCGGAGAATGCGGTTTTGATCCAGGTTCTTCCGATCGGAGGGTTCGAGTGGCTAGCCCGGACCGACTTCGAAGAGCCATCCAAGGACATGATCAATTTAAGGTACTTGGAATACAAGATCAAAACGGAAGAGAGTACTTTGATGCAACAATATCCACCGGAACATGAGGTTATAAGCAATCCATCTGCCATACAAAAACAGGGTTGGGATACATTCAAGTCGGTGTACTTGCAACGACAAAATGTCAACCTCGATATTCATAGGTTTAAGTACACTCTATTGAGAGCTCTTGAGCTCTTACGTCGGTAAATATTTATATATATTTATTCATCGTCTTCGTCCCTATATTTTTTTTTATTGTCATCTCATTTTTGACGACAGAATTCTTTTCCGATGAGAATAGAGAGTGAGTGAAATTATTTATTCATTTAGAATATTTGCTTTGTTACGAGATAGATGTTTGAGTGTTTCAATTTTAAGCAAATTATTTGGGTAGTTACAAGAGATACATTTCAATTACAATTAGAGATAATTGCATCACACTTCTCTAAATTATGATTCTTATTTTAAATTAGTCCTTAAATTTTTGAACATTTTAATTTCATATCTAAATTATGACTCATTTTAAATTGATCTAAATTTTTTTTGAAAGTTTTCATTCCCAAACTTTTAAACGTTCCAATAACACTCCCAAAATCATTCAAAATGTTCAAAAGTTTGGGGATCAATATAGATTGAATGTTATAATTTGGTGATAATTTGAGAATGTTCAAAAGTTTGATAATCAAATTAGAAAGAAAATAATAATTTAAGGATGAAATTAAAATATTCAAAAAATTGAAAAACAATTTAAAATGAGAATTGATACATGTAATGCAATTAACTCATAAAATTAAAAATATATTTACAATTAATGTATTTAAGATCAAGCAAGATTTATATTTAATCAAAAGTAAACATTAAAATACATTAAATGAAAATCAAATATATATATTAAAAAGAAACATTATAACACAGATGAATTAAAATTTGAATCAAAATAGATCTCAATTTGAACTAAAATTTCATATAAATTTTATCATAAAGTGAGTTCTAAACCTTAAATCTTACAATACTCAAGTCTCAACATTATTATCAAAGATGGACCGAAAGGTGTTTGTTGGGGGCATCATACTAAAAATTTTAAATTATCATATATTTTATATTTTTCTTTGTATTTTTTAATTGATAATATATTTTTGATCTCATAATTTTATAAGTTCATCCCTCCAAAAGTTTTAAAAGTTTGTTCCGGTAATGTAAAATCTTGAATTTGTTCTTGCTTACTATTGAACCAAACCTTGATATTGAATGGTTATCATTGTTTATTAAGGTTATTAATATAACATTTTCTAAAAAAATTAAAAAAAAATCAAAATTTAACTTATAAAATGAAATATGATATAACACTTAGATCGTATTTTAATTGTTATTTCTTGATGTTCAAGGAGTTAAAAATCATGACGATCGTGAAAGCATTGCTTGCTTGTCACTATCATATCATAGGTTGTATTTATTTATTTATTTACCCCTATTACTATTAAAATATGAATTACCGCGCGGATATCAACTCAGTTTGCATAATTGTTTACCATTTTCCCTAGATTTTCATACATTTATTGTGTTGGCTGGTAGGGTGACGTATAGCTCATTCATTTGATATATATATGTCAGCAGCCAAGCTCAATTCACAGTTCTGGTTGACTGTTCACCTATTTTGATTTTGACAGATAATCGTTACTCATGATGGCCGGGCTGGATATTCTGAGAATGATGGATGTTTGAGTGCAGAGAATCAGTTTCAAGGAAAGCATAAATCAAATAGAAAGAAGCAAGACCGAGCAGACTAACGACTAATAGGTTGTTTGTTTACTTTAGAATGATTAAGCGCTGTATAATTCAAATGTTGAATGATTCAGAGGCTCTGTATGAATTAGTTGTGACATGCTGCTTGATAATGGTTTTGAATCATTCAGAATATACTTTTGTGCTGAATCATTCAGAATGTACTTCTGTGTTAAATCATTTAACACTGTTTTGTTGAATCAGTCAGTACTGAATCAGTCAGATGTGAGAAACAAACGCGTTGAATGCTGAACGGTTCAACATTCATAGCTGAATAGTTCTATTCATAGCCAAACAAACAGCCACTAAGTCAGGAAGAAGATGATTGAATAGTGAATAATACTTATGATTATATCCCACTTGGGAGCTGACCTGAAGCCCAAGAATGCATGGTATTGACTCATTCTTCTTGTCCTTGTCCGGAAGCTTTGGCCAGTTTGTGTACTGAGAAAGCTTGATTTAATGTCAGCTTAATTTCGAGGGACCCCATGGGTTGATAAAAGGTTACTTGTACGGAGCCAAGTATGAATATGGGCTATACATGATGCATCGATCGTTGTTCATAGATAACATGGAATTTTGCACAAGCAAGTGGTGCCTCAGGGTGAGGGAATCACTTTAACTATGACGACAAAAAAAGGCATATAAGCATATTATAGCATCGGAATGTTTGACAGATTACATGGTGGAGTAGACCAGGAAATCCTAAAGAACTTCCTTATCTTGAATTGTGCGTATGCTATCTCTATACGGACCTCAACATAGTTGACCGAAGACTCGAACTTCTAACCTTACTTAATGGACAACAAACTCATATTTAAATGATTAACATGAAGAGAAATGAGAAATTACAAATTGAAAGTATCCCATCAAAGTAGAGTTTTAGAAAGGCCTGATGAAGATCGTCTTGATCAAAATCTGCCTCCAAATTTTAAACTGCAAAAACAAAGCTACTAATAACACAGCAGAAGAAATGAAAACCAGGTAACAAACAACAATTATATCATTCAGACGTCGTATTAAAAGTTTTGTTTAGAAGTAAAGAGAAGGGGAATTGAAGAGTACAAGAGAGGCTGAAGATGATGACAGAAGCATAGAGAGCACAAAGGAGTGGGATGCGCACATATATGCATGCGGTATTGCACACCATCATCTGTGCTCTCTATCTTCTGTCAACACCAATCACCAGTGCCGCCTCTTACCTCTCTCGTTTCCCCCCACTCCTGCTCCTAAATGTTACTTTAAAAGGAAAGGGAAAGAATATTGGAGTGAGAAAATATATAGGGATGTATGATCTAATAGGAGGAGTCCCTTAGTCCTCTATTTATAGAAAAGAATGGTAAGTGTAGGGTAGATATAATTGGATGGTTTATGAGATGTACTAACAAACCTAAAATCTTTACACAAAAAGATAGTACAATATGTTTTTTCCTTATGGGGACACATAGTCAACCCTAATCTTACAAGTCAAACATGGCAATGCAAGTTGGCAAGAAAGATGGAAGGGTCAAAGAAGGCAAAGGTTGAAAGCATCCCTCAACACACATATCTTATCTTGAAAATGTATTGTTTTGAATTACCTGTCACTTGTACACCGTTGGAAAGAGGAGAGGGGAACAAATGGGGCCGTGGATTCTAATTATTTGATTGCTACACATTTCCAAATTAACCCTATTTCCCTTGATCACGTGTCCAGACCCCATACACACCCTTCTACATTTGGGTGCGCCATGCATCCTAAAATATCTTCACTTCGATTCCCTATACCACATTAGGGATACAGTGTCACAACTGGGATAGAATTATAAAACTTTGAACATTACTTTGAAGATCATGTTTAAGAGGGATTAAAATAATTATTAGTTCATTTAATTAATAATATTTATATTCAAAGATAATCAAAACACTTAATTTAACAAATTTTGATTTATTTTTATAAGATTGAATTTACTTTTAAAATTTAATTTGTATAGGAAAGAATCGGATTTAAACAAAAGCTTTCTGTTTTGGGAATGAATATTAATAAAGTTTGTGTTTTTCCACTTTTGGATGGGGGATATTGGTGGGCTGATGTAATGACTAACGAGGAATTCGTTGTGTGATTGGCTTGCTATAGAGTTGGGTTGCTTTTATTGGTTCCCTCTCATCCCTATGGAACTCTTGAGAACCTCCTCCAATCCAATTCATCTTATCTCTCCACCCTTTATTATATATTTTCAAAAATAGAGCACCATGCCTAATGAGCCAAATTTTCAAATAATAATAAATAGATAAATAAATAAGGCATGAGATAGCAGTAAGTATTCAAACTATACCTCGAAATATAATTTAGTGTCTAAAGAATTTTTTTCTAGTAATAGGTGACTGACGTTTTCTCCGTTACCGTTTCAGGTGTCGGGGCGTTAACTACCGTTAAAAAACTTCGTTAAGTGTCACGTGTCACTTTCAGATATTTTTGAAATTTTGTTTAAAAAATAAAATATTTTGTATTTAAAAAACCATGTCATCCCTCCCCCTCTCCCTTCTGTCTAAGGAAAGGCGGACTAATATAAGGCTAGGAAATTGCGTGACCGAAAATTTAATAAGATACTTAAGAAAGTCGGTTAAGTGCTACCGAAAATATTAACCTAATAATAATGGTGTAGGTGAAAAACATTAAGAAATATTAAAAAAGTTGGTAACAACAAATTTTGGTTATCAGAAGGTATCGATACATATATATAAGTATCGATACATAAGTTCATGAATAGATAAGAGGTTGGAACTTAAACAAACCGGTCGAGCGTGACCGGAAATGTTGAATTACAAATAATATGTTATATCTATATATCGATACTTTTTCAATTCATGTATACAAGTATCGATACATGAGAGGAAAACATGATGGAACTTAAACTAATCGGTGAAAATTTAGCATTTGAGGTAGGTTGGACCGGGAAAAATGTGAGACTGTAAGTATCGGTACTGATGTACAAGTATCGATACATGTAGTAACATATAAGAAACTTAAGAAAATCAATATTGCTCGATCGGAAATTTTGATTTACACATAATATATTATAGTTTGGTATCGATACTATTTTTCAATACATGTAGACAAGTATCCGTACAATTGTTGATTTACAGGTAAGAAATATCGATACCGTGCACACAAGTATCGATATATATAGTAATATATAAGAAAGTGAAGAAAATCAGTTAAAATTAGACAATACCGATTTATCAAGACCGGAAATGTTGACTTAAACATTATATGTTATAGTTTGGTATCGATACGTTTTAAGTGTGTGTATAAAAGTATCGCTACTTTAGTAATTTTAAAGAATTACAATAAAAGCGGCCGTAAAGTATCGATACCTTTGTATTAAGCCAATTAATAATGAGTCACCCTTGCGTACGCTTCTGGATTCTACTTTTCCTGTAAC